GAGCCGATGGTGACGGAGAGCCATGATGCAGTAGATGGAACGAGAATCACCTTCACTCCAGATCTGGCCAAGTTTGGCCTTACCACTTTTGACCATGCCATCTGCGAATTATTCAAAAAGCGAACCTACGATGTAGCTGGCACACTACGCGGAGTAAATGTCTACTACAATGGGAATTTAGTAGAGGTTCGAAAGAAAATATTCATAACTGGCGAAGAGATTTTGCAAATCTGCAAATAAGCATTTTTAGGTGCCATCATTTCAAGAGTATGTTAGTTTATACAGTGATGACCATAGTTCAAATGATGTCTTGTATGTCAATGCCAGCAGACGATGGCAATGGGCTGTCAGAAAATCACCCACTGGCTTTCAGCAAATATCATTTGTCAACAATATTGCCACTACTGGGGTGAGTTTACTTATAATTCTACCAAAGTAGTAGATCCTAGTTTGTGGATACCACAGCTTTTCTCAAAAATTTCTGGCATATTTGAAGATTAGAAATAACAAAAAAATCAACGAAAAGAGATATGCATTTTGAATGAAATATGAGATATACAACCTTGGAGTTCCAGCTTGAGTTCATTCATTTATTTTTACTTCGTCCAAAGTAGGAAGAAAAACAGAGTGTTGAAAGTGTTTTTTCTTACTGGTTTTCTGTCAATATGTAAGAAATCCTCCGCTTAATCTTTCAAAAGAAGCTTGCTTCCCTATTTTTTTAATTAGAAAAAGTATTTTTTGATTTTAAGGGCGGGAAACATGTCGACTACATTGTCGATCAAATAGTCAACATTATAAAACCCCTTGTGGATTCTCATCTCAAAAACGGCATTAAAAAAGTTGCGGTAAGTGAAGCGCAGTGGCTGCACCTTATCCCTTCTTTACCCACATAACTTCCTTTAGATAAAACATCAACTATGCGTGTTTGTGAACGCTTTGATTGAGAACCCGGCATTTACAAGCCAAACGAAAGATGTGTTGACCACCGCAGTTCGCGAATTTGGATCCAAATGTGAATGCGACGCCGAGAGGGTCCAAGCATGGGCTATAGACTCTGGCTTGGTGGATGAATTGACAAGTGAAGCGCAGGCGAAAGAGGTACAGAGTGTTATATTCCACAGTCTTCCTTATGATATTCGCTCCAGGGACGCCAAAGAAAAGTCAAACCAAAGATTGCC